TCTCATATTCTCTTCCCATCATCTATACTTTTCCTGCAGGGAAGCTAATGCGAGCTGTGGTGGACGTGAACCATTGCCTAAATCTCGCTTCATTGGCGTGTACGAGTCTCGCGTTCCAGGGATCAGCACGATCTCGAGCCTGCAACGCATGTACCCGGCTGTCAATACCTGGGACAAAGTTGTGAATGAATATACTCGGCGTCTCCTGGGTTGTTTCGATGACAAGCTCCCGGCCATCTCGGCCATGGCAGCTAGTCTAGTACGCCTAGCGAGAGATGAGAGGGCCCAAGAGCTTCATTACTGTGCCGGGCTAATGCTTGACCTAGAAGGTAAGGACAAGGGATGGAAAGGTGAATTTCTGTGGGCTGTTACGCAGCCAGCTTCAAATATTGTAGAACCGGACCATTCCTCCTATCCATCTTGGTCTTGGGCTTCGCTCCAAGCACCGATCAATAGGTGGGGGGCAAACTCAGACGATTTCCCGGACGAAGATGGCATTCGCTTGCTTGATTTTAACGTACCGTTACGTGATACGCGCAATCCATTCGGTGCAGTTATAGGAGGGCTTGTTAAATTGATGGCGCGAACACGGCTCTTGTCTACAATCAACAGAGCTACGTTAAACATGCTAGTTTCTAGGAAAGTCATCCTAGAGGATGAGGTGTATGATGAATCTAGTCGATCCGTTCTGGTTCTCCGTTCCGATACGGTAGAGTCGGATCGAATAATAGCCTGCGGTGGTCAGGGGATTCTTCTGGTCGAGCTTATAGCAACTAGAACCAAGGGTACAAGTTCAACCTATCCTGCTGGGCTCCTAGTCCTAGAGGCCGGCGGGGATACCGGAGCCAGTGAGTGTTACAAGCGAGTTGGGATGTTTGAGTTTAGGTATAAGGACGTTTCGGGAGCTAAAAATGGGAAGGATCTAGCATTGAAACAGGCACGGGCACTGTTTGGTAACAGTAAGCTACGTGAAATCTATATATTATGAATCGGCTACTCATTGATAATTACTCTATTGTATCCCCCGGCAGATTTATACTTTAACATACATTTAAGTTGAAAAGGGGGCCTTCGGACCGTTTAAATTCAACTTTATGCCGTCATATGACATGACAACTCCCTGGAGTCCTGTATTAATCCGATACAATTGATTAACCCTTTCAAAAAATTGCAGGCCAATTTTGGCCTCCCATAATACTCACCTAGAGCATTAAATTAAAAAAAAAAAAAGGATCTAATTTAGTAGGATTTTGTTAGAGGAGAAGAGGAATGCGGATCTTAATCGTATTGATTGTCCAATCTGCGGACCTAGAGCGCGTCAAGGAATCTTTTCTTACCATTTACCTGACGAGGGGAATTGCGAGGCTATCGCTTGCCCAGAGGATTCGCTGTAGAAAGCATCTTACTAGATCTTCAACACGTCTCTGTCATAGGAGAAAAAGGTAGACGTTATTTGAAGGGCTTCGGAAGAAAATATGTGGCGAAGCTCTCAGGTCTGACGGCTTAGAAAGTTGAACTTCGTCAAACTTGACTTCCCTGAATCCGGATTTATATGAATCTCAAATATGCTGGTTCCTTTTTTGATCAACCTCATCATCACGGAATCTTTATTAAATACGCTCTCTAACGTACAGCCGAATTTCTCGTTAATGGTCCCAAGCCGCTCATCACCTTCGGGCACTTCTAGTGACCTTATTATATCTGTATTGTTCTTTTTTGGGCTTGTTTAGCACTCGCCAAGAACGCCAAGACAACTTTTGGGCGGTATAGGAATGGCTATTGGGTTGTTCTACAGGGTTCAGGGACCCACCACACAACTTCCCTTCTATACCAACATATTCAGTGGCACACCCGACTCGAATACGCTGAATAATCGGCCCGCCCACCCACTACACTACAATACTGCGTTGCTTTTGACCTGCGTTGTTTATATTTGCTTTATTATTGCGTTGATTTCTTTGTTAAATAACTAGCCGGGCAGTTCTAGGCTAGCTTTTAAAGCCCTTCCACTCCGAATTCGAAGCTACACTGCTAGCACTGGCCGCGCACTAAAAGCTAGCCGAAAACGCTCACGCTTCCCTAATACAAGTACCATATATCTTACTACATATGTGTGTGTGCCCTGTATGTGATGTAGAATGCCCCAGGAAATCTTGAGGCCAAGACTAATCTTAGACTATTGGGAGGATTAGGTCACGAAGGCTCTAGTCACCCACAATACAGCCGGTGGCGGAATTCCGTCCGACCACACATGGGCCTAGTATACTACTATGTTAGTGTGCACAGATCGTAATGATCTATTTTCAAAATGGGAAGTGTCGCCGAGCTGTTAAGTACACCTTCACCTTCACCTTGCTCTATAGATTACTAATTACCGTGCCGCGAAGTTACAGTTTAGCCAGTTAGTTTGTAGTAGCCCTGAAGCCGGATGTTGTATACAATCCATGTAACAGAATGTTCAATAGTCTAAGGGCCCCAACATAAATATAGGCTCCATGCCTCTGCAAAATTAACTCCCTGAATAATTATCAGAGTTGAAACAAAACTAGACACCCGATAGGCTCACTGTAAGACATAGTAGTGTACCTATAAACTTGGGAACATGTAAGCCAGCTGATATTTACGCCGAGGGTCTTAATATGTACTAGAGACATATAAGACTCATATTGGAAATCATTTGCGACGTCAAGATCTCTTTTCTTCCGTTAGATGCCTGAGATACCCGATGCGAGTGTAATAACGTGTTATCAATAGCGGGTCTCTTAATAAACCAGCACTAATGCGACTACACTAGGCAAGTTCACATTCCGTCTGCGATTATCGTTGGCTAATGCTAACAGGCATATAAGCAGTAAAACAGGAACAAACAGTCATTGTATTGGTAATATCACATAAAATGAACTAGAATTACGGAACTCCGAATCCCTATATAAGTTATCAATATCAAGCTACGAAGTATACCAATATCTCCGTGTCCGTCTGGCCTATAAATGCACATTCACCACAACAACGGAGAATACACCTAGTGCATTATCACTACAATTCATGGACTTGAAAGCTTCTATCATGAAGATCAACAACCCTTCGATTCCACTTGGCTCACTAGTAGCTGTGGTTGGAGCGAATGGTTACATTGCCTTAGAGGTGTGTCAGAAACTTCTCGAGGCTGGTTACCGCGTAAGAGGCACCGTTCGAGATGTTGAACGCTGCAGTTGGATGCACCGAATTTTCGATAAAAACTGGCCGGGACGGCTTGAATTAGTTCGTGTTCAGGACTTTGAAGCAGACGGGGCTTTCGACGAAGCGTTTGAAGGTTTGAATTTACTGTGCTCTTTTTCTCCGTTGGAATGTTAAAGCAAGCTCTGGCAGGCCAATGGGAGAATGTCTTCCCTCATCTTGGTGAGCACCTCATCCTCCACTTATTTCCTATTTAATTTTAGGTCTACGTCGATGCATAAATCCACATCACTAATTTCGTGTAGCATATTACATTGACGTTGAAGATACAGCGCGACTTCTAGTCGCCGCCGTTGCCTTGTCATCTGTGCAAAACGAGCGTATTTTTGCCTACTTCGGGCAGGGGACTTGGAATGATCTTCGGCATAAAGTGCGAACACTCTTTCCCAATCGTTCAGATATTGTGACAGGAGAAGACCTTGCCATTCAGGGTAGGGACCTCTCGACCGCACATAAACCGATACGGCGTGCGAGGGATATCCTCCAAGAAGTCGGACAATCGGGGTTTGTGAGTGAAGATGAGATGCTGCGCAAGTTTGCTGGGTCCATGTATGTGGAGCAAGAATGAATGTGCTTCTAGATGAGTAGCTAGATAGGACGATGCGCGTTTACGCTTTAGATATACGATCTGTATATGTGTAAGTAGATCTCATATACTTGACGATAGTTCTACCCCAAGTTACACGATGGTCTTTAATCACTAGTATCGTACATCTCGCCGAGTAGTGTTAGCTCGACGTGACCGCATCTCCTTCAATGTAATCCTGGGGAATTTGTAGACTCGCCCAGCATAGTGCTACTGCCGAAGCCTCATGGCGGCTAGTGCTTGATGTTGTCTTCTGTAGCGTAATATGCCTGCACGGTTATTCCTTGAGCTATTAGTGTTCTATCTCGCGCCCCTGAACAGAATTAATCAGATCCGGTTAGCTACTAGCCACAATATAGCCCTCCTTGCGATTGAACCGAAGAGAGTATTAAGGTAGGCCATAACTGGCTAAACGCAATTATAACTTCACTGTTAATCACGCCCCTTAATAACGTGGATAGGGGTATTCGATTGCTAGATCTCCTGCCAGGCTTGGTTAGGTCTTGTTTAAATGCCACCTTTGACTCATATCTCCGATGAAAAAGTGAAAATGGAAAATCTATCATACTTCTGGTGAGATTCGGCCGACTATTATATGGTCTTAAGTAATGCTTTGTACTCCTGTTACAGCAAATCGTTACGCAGGCGTAAGCAATTTGATGGATTGCCAAGCTGTTAAGTTGGCCGAGCAGTTATAATGAGGCTAACCTCCCTCCCCAATTACTCTCACGTATCAGCAACACTTTCATTCATGGGACTGTTCACCCAAATTAGTCTTACTAGAAATCGGCGGGGTTTTATTATGGAAGGGGGATATATAGGACTCGGGCGTCACTGTGCTGCAAAGATACCGGGCGCCTATCTTAACTAGAGCTACTACGGAAATGAATCATCAGTGAGTTGTTAACACTCATGGTACCATTAGGACATTAGGTCTTCGGCGAAAGAGATACGAGCCAGTCTGGTTTAATTGAGAATCGTAGCTAGAGTTGACAGGTAGTACACAATTGGCTAATTGATCGCTTGATAGTATTTTAACACTATAAGGGGTTAAAAAATGGACCCTAAGCCTAGAGATCTAGAAGGACGTCAAACACGATAAGCTATTCTATCATATACACAACAGACGCAGAAACCATATTCTCACCCAAGTGTGTTGTATCAATGTGTAAAAATTTGACCTCGCTGGGGGTCGAACCCAGAATCTCCTGATTACCTTGGAGAACTCAACACCGATAATTAATACCGGGGCGATTCTTTTCGTAGTCAGACGCCTTGCCATTGGGCCACGAGGCCGGTGTGATTTTCTTGGCGAATCATGGTTGGACGTTACTATATATCATCTTACATATTAGTAATATTACATAGCTCATAGCATCCTATCTAAACCCTTAGCGTCACATTTTCGTCTTAATATCTTAATATTACAACAAAGCGTATTTACTCCCCAACATAAGAAACTTCACACTCGCGAGGCATGGTTCTCAGATTTCCTACTTTTATGTAGAATTGTGCTGATCATGCTGACTACGCGACCGGGATCTTTATAGAGGTCCTAGACCAGCGTTTTCAAATACACAAAATATATACAGGTTTAATGTAGGAAGGGTTATGTTTTAGTAGTATCCCGCTATGTAATGTATGTTGCAATGCCGCCCCTATCACTCTGTATACACTATCCTCTCGTCATAATGATTAAGGGATTTTATTCGCACTAAAACACCATCCGCAAGGAGAATTGCCCGACCCAACTGCGACAGTCGAGTTTTTCAGGAAGCAGTTGCCGTGGTAATGCTGATAGTGTGCCATATCGTTAATCCAAACAGCAGATTCGCATGAACTGGCGATCCCCGCGGTCTGAGACGTCGAAGTGTACACTGAGCATGCTTGTAAGCAATCCACCATCGAGTAGGCAATAAGGCTCATAACATCTCCTATAATCACATCGTTTTTCGCTATATCTTTTCGATTGCCATTTCCCCATTCCGTGTAGCAGTGAACAGAGAACATGTCCCTATACTGGGATTCTTGAAACGTTGAACTCAGGTCAGTGCAATCGACCGCTAGGTCCCAGATCTCTGTCGAGGGTGCGACGGTATAGTTAACAAGTAAACCCCCTGTAGTTGCAGGGAACAGAACCAGGCTTGTGGTCGTAAATTCAGGGCTAGTAGTCGTAGAGGAGGGGCCAGCCGTCACAGAGGGATGATTGGGAATTACTGGGGTCATTCTTTGGTATTAGCTTATCGTCACTCCGTCAGTGTCGTCAAGGTACTCACAGCAAAGACCCAAGGGACATACCTAAGATTGCTCTGACATTTAGATAAAGAAGTGCCGAGTCCTCCGCCCAGTGTAGCACCTATTATTATCGCTGTTAGGATAATAGCGATGGCAATGGTAAAAGTCTGGGTTCTCTCTCTTGGAATTGACTGGTCGATTTTATATGAAGAAAATGGAGTAGATTTGGTCACTGAGGATTCTTGATCATGGCCCCGTTGCGTGTCGCTCTGCCAGTTCTGCTGTTGGTGGGGTGATACCTCGAGGCCTGGTGGGCGATTCCGCTCGTACTGCTCTTCTGTTATTTCAAGGCCCGGATATCCAGACATGAAAGCCATATAGAAACGGTCTCCGCGGGACGATAGGCGTATAAGTTTGAAGAGGGAAGTCTGATACGAATGACTTGATATCCGGTATGGAACCTTTCACTGAGTGCCTTAAATCACCGCGCTCTGCCTTATCAAATAGAATTTAGTGCATAGCCATGCAAGGCTGAAACTGAACATGAAATTGAAAGTTGGGGGCCCCTACTGTTGGATTACAGGATTTCTGTGCTCGGCCCACAACCATTCCCATGGTAAACACACCCCACCGATGGATTGGTGATATTTAACGGAACGAAGAGTCTTTCGACATTAAATCTCCTTAATGGTACGAGAGAGGGTAAACCATTCCGTTATATATACCGGGTGCAAACACCATATTATTGCCACGAAGGCTTGTCATATCATAACTCCGTATTCACCTTTTCTAGGGCTTCCGTACTTCGTGTATTCGAGGCGCTAGTGGCGCGGCGTATATTTTTACTTGATTTTTCTTTAGGGCTCAAAGCAGGTCGATTGATTGGGCGCTCTTAGCGTAAGCGTTGCTAGTTACTCATTGTTTCAACGTTTCAACAGCTAGGAAGGTGGCGTCAATACGTGGTAATCGAGCTCACCGACTCGCTCGTTAGGAAGCCTGTAAATTACCATTCTACGGCGGTATTAGCGTAGGCTGATGTGTTATGAAGCGGTTTATCTACTTGCCTAGGGGTCAAACGCCCTTTTCCCGTATCACAAAGATGTTTCTATAATACTCTTGTTATTCAACAGTCGGCCCTGATCAGCCTCGATGCTGTTCGCACAGATTACGCGTGCCCCTTTAGGAACCGAATACTTCTATTTATGTCCAAGTCCTAGTCAATGGCAGACTATATGCCCTGCTAGAGAATTAATTACTAATAAATCGTTCGCGTTTCGATCGGCGACGCGGGATTCAGGGGAAACGCGTTCACTAGATGAATACTCTCTTTTCTTCGCTTTTGTAATAACACCGAAAAGTATCAGTTTAGAAATTATGAAATTTAACAAAAGCGTCATGATACCGGCCTAGTCTCTAATACTTCATGTTTCAGCCGTGACAATTCAGCTGATTCAGCCCTTGCCCCAATATGAGACACACTAGTCTCATTAGGTCAAGCAAATCAGCTTTCGTAGTCTCCGGGAACCGGCTGTGTATCGTACATAGCAGCATCCGCGTGTCATTCCTTGGGGGTTATTAGACACCTCACAAGGTCATTTGTTCTTCGGATCTATTCTACAAGCTTCATTTCAAGCCCTTATTATATAGACCTTGTGGAAAATGCAATTCGGTTAATTTTATTACTAAGTCAGTGGGTTCGCATGAAACCTGAAAGCGATAGTTTGATCAGGAGCAAAGACTCTAGTATAATGCAGAACGTAAAGCACTAGAAGACGGTATCGCCAAGGCGTTCAACGACCCGTGTATCTCCTTGAAACGCTTGCATGCCGATAAGTTGTATGCAAAGGCTCTCGAAGACGGGACCGAGTTCATCGACACCCTGTCTACTAGGCTATTATGTTCTATACATTCGACTCCTCTCAGCATGTCTATACAGCATCTAGATCTACCACAATTCATAGCTAAGACGTCGCAGCAGCTCGTCAGTCCGGAAGTCATTATAGAATCTACTGAAATAATCAAGGCACTTAGGAAAGTTGCCATCAAGAGCCGCTTTACAGACCATCTAGCATTGACTCTCCTTGAATTTTGTCGGTTGACTCGTGTCAACACTACGCTGGGATTACCGCTGAAAGCGGTTCGTATTTAGTTATCGACGATGCGGCGTCTTGCCCTAACACCTTATACTGTAAACTACTACAAGACGCAGGAAACTGCGGCCCATCGCATGGTGTATACATATAGTCGTCAGGAATGGCCTATGTATGAGATATTGGGCAAAACAACTGTAAAGCCACCCGGAAGGAAAAACGGTTATCATACATTGAAATGTACCGGTCAAGTCCAAAGTGCTAGTTAATGCATATCACATAAAGGGGGCGGGGACATAACATGGAGTCGTGGTAGATTTGGGAAAACCACCACTAGGAGACATTTATGGCATCAAAGTTCGAGCTGCATTCTAAACAAAATATATTCAATATGCCTAAACCAATAGCCCCTGCAAATATGGCAGATAATCGTGCCTGATAAATAGACACGTTAATACTTTCTGTATTATCCTAGACCAAAGATAGACATTATGGTTGATCGTTAATTAGGGAAGGGGAAAGACACATAACAAAACAAATAAATAATCGCACATATGCATATTAGACCTTTGATGGCCGTGGTTATTAGCAGTAAGCTGTGGTCATTACTTCAACCTACATGTAGTAAAGGAGCAATTTGGTGTTTAAAATTTCCCTAATCGTACGGCCGGATTTTTCTGCACAAAACCCAAATCCACCCTATGACCCAGCAAGTCGCGAATGTTGTTAATGCCATACCGGATCATAGTCGGACGTTCTAGCGACAGTCCCCAACCATACACACGCATGTCCTTACTATCACAAGATGTCAGCCATTTCCAGATCACTCAAAAGATAGCGGGCGTTTAGTGACCAAGCTAGTGGAGGAATCCAATCGCCCGTGGGACGTGTACTTACGGCAAACCCATTGCCTCAAGCATTTCAGATCGGAACATTCCACTGTTTCCTATCTCTACGATCTTCCCTAGGCCGGCATCTAGGATTAGAGTATTAGCATTTTGGTAAGAAACAACGATAACGAGACAGTTTTTCCGGGGCCCGCATCTAACTGCTGTCGTATATGGTGGGTATGACAGGATGCTGGTGTAAAGGGAGAGATTTTCAAAGCGTCGGGGAGAATGAGCGTGTGCGGGTAGTTGGGGATAACATACGATATGAAAATATCTCCATGCTTGGCTCAGTATCTAGATGCACAAAATCAGTGTGTGTCCCAAGTGTGAGACGTGGGTAGTACATACAAGGGTTGTATGCCGGTTTATACTGAAGGCCAGTGATGCCCATCTTGCCGAAGAAAAGGTCCATGAACTAAAGCAATCAGTTTTTGTGTGAATGACAGGCTAGTGAGGGACGAACCGCCATAAGACCGCCAAGTGTTAAATCGTAATCGGCGATTATACCCTCAACTTGGTGGAATTCGGCGAGATGAGTATTGTCGACAGCTTCGTTGCGAAAGACGCGGTCGATGGAGAAATAACGCGCAGGGGGGGGCCGGCCATCGGGTCCCTTGCTAGCTGCTAGTTTATGCAGCATGCTGGCGCTCACGGAAGTCGTGTGCGTCCGTAGGACCAACCGTAGCGCCTCGTCCGCAGACCATGGGTACCGGTACCCAATTGAGCCATACTTGCCGTCCTAGTATCTATTAGGAGCTAAGGAAAAGAGAATCACCATTTCTGACTCACTTGATGTATAGTTTTCACGTCTTCCCAGTATCTGTCATCAGATGGCCTTCCAGCAACCAATGGGTCGGAGGTATAGAACTATGGGACATTGGTTAGTACATTCAAGGATCAAGGAGGAAAGAAGCTTGCCGTGTCTTGTAAGTCGCGGGCAGGGTGTTGCTGCGGCACATAAAGGGCGTCAAAGTTCCAGAAACACGTCTCGACGAAACTGCAAAGCTAGTAAGTCTCCGTAAGTATCTCTAGTGGGTAACTATTGGGTCGAGTACTTGTCTGTAGGCATCTCCTCAAAACC